GAGCTTCTAAACCTCGTTACCATCTCGTTCTAGTGCAATAAGCACCCGAATGCCTCCCGCTACTGCAATTGTTGTCGTATATGCGACCGACAGATTAGCCAACACACCCGCTGCACTCGTCGCCCTAGCAACATTCTAATCACGAACTACATGTAGAGCCACCAATATGGATAGCGTTTGTCGCAGCAATGGCAGATAGAATTTCTAGTTCATCGACTGCCTTTGTCCTTGTGATCGAGACATCGGCTCTGAATGCTAGTAGAACGTTTTAGTTTCGTTTTTTTTTATGGCTTCACGAGAAGCTATGAAGGCACTACTAGTTTCGAAGTCGTACGAGTCGGTTCAGTCATAGTAGTATCTTGTCCACAGAGCGTGAGGCAGGCCAAACTACAATATACTAGGGCATTCTCAATGTTTTTTTCCACTTCCAAGTATTGTGGTACTATTAATACCGCACACCACCTCGAAAACTGGAGCGTCACTTGTCCTCCTGAAGTACTGTCCACGCAAATTCTCTTGTGGCGCTTCAGAAATTCTTCCCGGTGTTCCGCCCTGCTACTTTTCCAGACGTACGGAATCTCCACCCACATACAATTGTTTATAAATCCGGAAACTTGTTCACGTTTCTGAGTCCCAGCTATGTATCCACAGCAGTTTCCCCGCGCTCCCAATTCAAATCAATCATATCCCATAAATTACAGAAGTTAAATAGGTATCTCCTCCACCATCACTAGGGTTTATTAAACTATATCCTTTTTCTTTTATCAGTTATCCGATTAAACAATATTTGATAGGTATTATACAGCTCCATCGTCTGCCCACCTATTCTTTGCCAGTTCGATATTTCCCGACCAAGCACCAGAAGCTTCAAGATGTCTCCCGTGGAGTGGCTATCGTCGCCGCAATCGGGCTCTCCTGTGGCAGACACGCCGTCCGCAACCTCCCAGTCCGCCTCGACCTCTCCGCCTGCGTCTCCTGCTTCGATCCCGCCGCCTCCGAGCTCTCCACTCGCCGTAGAAGCGACGCCACAGAGCCCGGAAGTCTCCAAACTACCGTCACCAGGCGGTCCTGACTCCATGGACTACAAAACCGTGACCTTCACAGTGTCACCGCCTCCTTTAAACCGACGCGGCAGTCGGGAGACCAACCGCCCGCTCTTTAGCGAGCGTCAACGCTTCACACCCACAGCAGACAAGCTCGTACTGGTCATGGTGGGTCTACCCGCCCGCGGCAAGTCGTTTATTGCTAAGAAATTGTGGAAATTCTTCTGCTGGAAAGGCTTAAAGTGCGAAGTCTTCAATGTAGGGCAACTACGACGCGCTAAAAGCTCCGGAGCCAAGCAGGATCACTCTTTCTTCGACCCAAACAACGCAAAAGCCAAGGAAGAGCGGGAGCTGCTCGCTCTGGAGTCCTTAAAACAAGTGCAACGCTGGTTCTTAGGCGAAAACGGAGAAAAGGGGGGCGACGTGGCTGTTTTTGACGCCACAAACACCACCAAGATGAGGAGGAAAATGCTGCGAGATACTTTCAGTGCTTTCGCTGAAGAACACAAGACCAGTGTGCACGTGGTGTTTGTAGAGAGTATTTGCACCAGCGAAGCTGTGATCAACGCCAATATCAAGCAGAAGGTGGAGAGCAGTCCGGACTATCGCAATATGCCAGAGGAGGAAGCGTTTGCGGACTTAAAACAACGACTGAAGAACTATGAAGCGGCCTATGAGGCTCTGGAAGACGCAGAAGACTGCAGTTACATCAAGCTGTTCGATATGCAGTCCAAAGTGCACGCCAAGGGCATCTACGGCCATGTAGCCAAGTCCATCTTGCCCTATATGATGAGTTTCCACATCGAACACCGTCCCATCTGGCTGGTGCGTGCTGGCCACTGCACCGAAGTGCGCCGGGACTTTAAGGCTATTATCAAGGATCCGTGTGTGGCCCCACGCTCGGCGCACTTGAGTACACTTGGAGTGGACTTTGCCTACCGTCTGGGCGAGTTTGTGAAGCAGCGAACGATGGTCTGGATGGAGAATGAAGGTATAGTAGCAGAGGATAATCCTACCGAGTGTCTGGTCATGACATCTACGCTGCCTCGTGCTGTCCAGACCGCAGACTTCCTTCCCTTCGGCAAGCGGAGTACGTATACATCACTTTAGATTTTTATATGTTTTAGATTCTAATTTTTGTATGCTACTAAATTTTAGTGCAAATGGCGACGCTAAATCCGCTGGACAAGGGCGAGTGCTACGGACTAACGATGGATCAGATGAAGGAACAGATGCCGGAAGCTTTTGCATCCTACGAGAAGGATCCGTGGCGTACGCGCTTCCCTGGTGGCGAGTCGTATCAAGATCTGATGATGCGTCTGGAGCCCGTTCTCATCGATATCGAGCAACATACGGGCCCTGTGCTCGTGGTGTCCCATATCTCCACATTGCAAGTGCTCTACTCGTACTTCCTGGGCGCGCCCATTGAAAGCTGCCCGGACTTGGAGATCCCCTTCCACTCGGTGCTCGAGCTCGTGCCCAACCAGGATGGCTGGACCAAAACTGTATTTAACATGCGCGCGTGAGGGTGACAGCACCCGATCTCACCTTTTATCTTCAAGTATGAACCTTTACAGGACCCCAAGAACTCAACACGACATGATTCCTTCTGTCTTGTCTTACTTAAGCTATGCTACTTGGAGGTATTGTAGGTATCTCGGAAGATATGGTACGTGTGTTCCAGTTCCCGAACGCGCACTAGCGGTCGCTCACCATCACGAGGATTATCGACTTCATCCAAGTGTCCAATGCCTTCCAGAGCCACTTCAAAATCCCGACCGTGTTGGACGTTAAAGCGGAAGCGGCTTTTGTATCGTCGCCCACTTTCTCGTGGATGGAACTCAACTCGGAGCTCCAATGGTGCGTGGACAAGTGGATGCGTGGTGGTTGCGTTTTCCAACAGATCTTTGATCGAGTCGGTTGTTGAGAGATATCCCCCTGCGGACTTGAGCGTCGTGGTAGGACCTTGGAGTTCGCCTGAAAGCTGTGCAAACGTGAAGACGGCAGGATCGTCCGTTAGGTGTGCGTGATGCTGACTCATTTTTTGTTGCTGTGCTCGTGAGACTGGCTTAGGTCTCGGTACATGTTGAATGGAGAATTGTGCTGGGACGACTGTAGGGTTTGCAAGGCGTAAGATGACACATCGAGAGGCTGAGAGATGCACTCGACCGAAGAAAAATACCGACGGAGACACCACGATGGCAGGACGTAAGACTACCGCAGCAAGACGGATGATTTGCACCGATTTCGTTGCGAATTTTACACGCAATTCACCGTTGAATTGAGTGTGTAGAGGTTGCTGCTGAGGGAGACTTGACTTGGATTTTAACGTTGACGTATCGGTCAGTAGTGAGGCGGACGGTAAGAATCGTAGATCGATACGCACGGACATCTGTGGAGGCAGCATGAACATGTAGGACTCGCCTTGAGCTGTGGATCGTCGGTGAGCAGCGGGGAGATCAGCCATGGACAACGGATGTCGTGGGGCTAGTGAGTCAGCGTGTGCGACGGCAAATGGACCATCACATTCCAGTCGGAACGTCACTCTAGACCCCAATCGGTTGACTAAGAAGAGCTCACGCCGATGGAAGAGATGCTGAGCTGCTGATGTGGACACGAGTGTGGACCATGTCGTGAATTTGATGTGGTACGGAGCTAAGGACTTTTGAAGGGAGACTGTCGCTGAGCTGTTCTTCCTTGCAGTATTCCTTTCAGACGCAGGAGACGGTGGTTGTACCTGCTCTCTGGGCTTGTCAATGAAGAGTTCCGGTTCGATAACGTCGGCTGACAGAAGCACACGGAGGCATTTGGGACTGAACGAAGAGGCTGGCGTACTTTCCATCACTAGACCAGGCTTCCGAACCATCGCGTTGGCCATACGCACAGCGGTAAACGCTTTACCAGCCGCGTGTGTTGGACTGTTATTTTGTCTCGTGGGGCTTGAATCTTCTTGTCTTGGATCAATTTCCATTGAAACGGGACCGGTAGAAAGAGAACTGGAGCTATCGAAATGGCTTTCTTCAACACTGGTATCATACCAGTGTGCATCGGCTAAAAGCAGAGCTCTCGGAGCTCCCTCATTGTCTTTCGGAGGACTAAAGGTAATCCGGAATGGCGTAGTACTAAACGCTGGCACCATAGCTGACTGAGGTTCGATCATGAACGGAAGAGCAGCGCTACTGTCGTCGTCGCAAGGTGTGATCCGCAGTTGCAGTCTCGATCCAAAGTCAACACGCAAAGTTACAGTCACAAGTTGATCTTCACGTCCATTCTCGACCAATTTCCACTTGAGACGAGCTCGTTGAGGTCCACGGTTCACCACTCGTAAAGTCCTTGTGATCATTGATGAACGTACACAAACGTCACCAAAATTCAACGCCGGTTGTCGAAGAATGACTTGAGATCGTCCCTCCGGTACAGGTTTGCCAAAGTATAAGCCCACACAGTTGCGATCTAGTGTAAGGGGAGTTCCTACAACCCCCACATTAGCATGTAAGAACACAGGAGGAGCCCCTATTGCTCGACTAACAATGTCGTCCACATAAGTACCAGGCATGTTGTTAAAGCAAGTGACTCGCACGACCACTTGCTCCCATGGAGGAATATGAACACGAGCTGGGGAGAGTTGGAACGCTACACCACGACCTCCACTCAATACCTGCCGGTCTTCAATGTCTTCTGCTCGTTGGCGCAGATATGCACGTCCTTTGTCGGACTGGTATCGATTCCCATCGTCTTTGGCGTCAGAAAGACGAGATTTTGAAAGTTCCTGGACACCTCGATAAGAATTCGTCCTAGGAGAATTTTGAGTCTTGGACAGAGCCAATTTGCTTCTCCATTTACTGTTACTCGGAGACGACAAAGACTCTGTACTATCTTGTCGCGTTAAAGTCCCGATGCCTGTTGCGGCTGGGAACTTCTTGGCTTCCAGATCTACGAGAGCCTCGATGCCGCTGAAGTTTCGGATCAGAAGACTCAATACTTTCCTCTCACCAAGAGTTACACTATCTCCGAACGAAAGTTTAGGAACACTGCTTAACGGATTCGTTTCTGGTTCCAAGTCACAGTCCGAGAGAGGAATGCCACGTTCCATCGCGATTTCCTTCGGAGATTTCGGTATAATGGAAGTGGAATGAGATTGAACAAGGTCGTAGGAGAGTACCAACCCTTTGTGGTTGCTGGTAACTTCGAAGCCTAACGGAGCAGGTAAGCCACGTATACTACACGCCAGAATGACTGTGAATCGACCGACTTGTCTTGGTGTATAATTCAGCGTCGCTACAAGGCGTTCTTTCGAGTGAATTGTACCTTGTTTTGGTGAAAAAGTAATAGAGTACGCTCGAGATGCACCTTCAGGCTCTACAAATTTGAATGCCGTCTCGAGGTTGGAGACATTCACAAGTTCAATGGTTCTATGGATCTCCACGCCTATGTAAGTTGTTCCCAGTGGCAACCGGGTCGTAGAAAGAAACACGTTGGGACACTGAATCTCCGCACGCGCAGACACGGCAGCGCTTGCACCTTTCGTATCGGATCCAGAGAATTTTTGTTCTTGAGCTGCTTGACAAGTAAAGAAGCCACGGAAACGCTGGGGAAGAGACCCAGCCATACACGTAGCCTTCACAGTGAACGATTCACCGGGTGCTAGCTGTCCATTTTCAGGAGCGAACGCTACAGTGGCTCGTGGTGGTATATCCCTCGAAGTAAAGATACTACTGCGCTCCGTCTCGTTACCAGAACTCGAGGATATCGCGGAATGTCGCGACATAACAGACTCTTTCGAGCTTGATCGTCGAAGTTTAGAACCTAGAGAAGACTGTGCTTGAATCAATCCTGACTCAGATGATGACCCTTCTAAGTGTAGAAACCTCCAATGTGTAGTTACACTAGGAGACGGATTCTTAATTGTGATAAAAGACTCAGCACTTGCTCCAACGAGCACCAGTCCGAAGTCAATTTCTGGTGTAACAATCTCAATCTCTGCTCCAGCAACATCTCCTTCAAGAAGCAACCAGCGCTCAAAACGAGGTGTTTTAAGGTCGTTGATGTCATGTGGAGTAACGATTCGACAAGGCACACTAAGAGAGAATGATCCCGTGCAAAAAGGCGTGAAGGTAAGATCGATACGCTGTTGTCCCAAAGGCATTAGTTCACCTGTAAGCGGAGTGAGTGCCAACTCGAAACTTGACGTTTTTCCTTTAGTTGGCGGTATCATTGTCGACTCTGCTGGACCTCCACTTGCAGCCAAGTGTCGTTGCCGTAACCTCGCAAGATCCCAACAGAACGTGATGGGTGCATCATTCTGGTTCTTTAGAACCACAGAAGTTGAGTATCTTTGCTTCTGTTGTAACAATTGCACCGGTTTACAGTCAGAGCTGTCCTCTTTTAAAGAAATCCACGAATCGTTGAGAGCTGGAGTGATCGTGAAGCTACCAAGCCTCCCACGTCCATGCAATTGAAACAAAAACCCTGGCATTTCATCTTGTAGTTTTCTTGCTGCGTTGGCTGCATCTCGAGGACTTTGTGAAGGATCGTCTTGTGTCTGAAACGCAGCTTTGAGATGTGCCATCTGACCAGGTCCAGGCATGCTACACGCCGGGATATCGTTGATCATAAGAGTCGCTTGACACGCATATGTGCGAGCTTCAACAGGTGAAAAATCGACAGTAAACTCCTTCGACGATGACAGCGCAAATACACCACTTGTTGGGGTGATACGATACGGCGGAGTCCAGTCACACCCACCATATAGAGTTCCCTCCATTAAAGGCTCTATCTTCCAGGAGTATTTAACGTCGATGGGAGTGTCGTTTGCAATGACGATAGTCTGTTGAGAACGAGCGTTCACGAGTACTTCATCGGTAAAGAATAATCGATCCATTTGCCCCATTTCAGCAATAGATGTATCGATCGGCACATCATTTACATGTGTAGCTGCTACATCCACCTGACAACCCCGACCTACGATCTGAAATACACGTACGAGACAATTATCACAAACCATGACGAAGCGTTCGCGTTGTTCTCCGACACTAGAAGGAGTGTATTCGAGATCAAACGTCACACTTTCGCCCTTATCCAGTTCAATATCGTTAGGCGAGATTCGGAAAGGACCCACGTCCATTGTAGCTCCAAGTTCGTACTCACCACCGAGCATTTCAATTGCAGAACGGGTCGGATTTAATCCACTAACAACCTGAAGATGTTCCAGTCTAGACCACGTTGATTCGTTCATCAGCCAGAATCGCCCTTTACCTCCTAGATTTTTACACACGAGCGACGTGACGGAACGTCCACCGACGAGAGTGTTCTGAGCACGAACCACCAGAGACAACGTCAATTCAGGAGGTGTACGACGTGCCATTATTGGAACAATCATCTGCGCTGAACCTGCAGATCCTGGCGTTCCGGACGACCCCGGAGCGACGGACTGTTCTGTTTCATACTGTACCGTAAAGCTGTCCTTGTAGTCACCACGCGAGTCTGGAGCGAAGCGAATACGCAGCTCTACGTGCATACCAGGTGCAACCATACCGCTTTCTTCGGGGAATAATACACTAGCCATCGAGAAGAATATCGTACCAGGTGGGAGGATACGTGCACACCGAGATAAAAGACCGGTGTTGCGTACATACACGACTTGTTCGTATATCCCACCGATGTCGTAGTCAGTAAATATGATCGGGGGCTTTGGTACGATATCGAAGCACGGTTTTACGGTAGAATCGCTCTCAGTGAGGCCATCTCCTGTGCTAGTCTTGCTGAGGTCGGGTACAGCATACCGCGGATTTCGCACAAAGTCGAGTTTGGTCTGCATACGCTCGAGAATCGCCATGTTTTTCCGCTTTTCGACCGCGTTCATTTTCAGTTCTTGCTCTATTGGTGATGACAACGGATCCTGATCTTGTTTATTATTTTCATGCTCTGTGTCATTCTGCAGCGAAGATTTCCCAGCAATAGCGCGTTGCTCGGTATGAATAGTTTTGACTTCTGCAATGTGGTATTTATGTTGTTCCAGCGTCGCTTCGGTGCGTATACAAGACGACTTTGTCGTGTCAAGGTACCCAATATGCTCTCCACTTTCACTAGCTGCAGTTCGGCGTGTAGGTGATAACATCATTCTCTTCACATTTCCACTACCCTCCATACGTTTTTGCTCATATTCAGCCACCAGCGTCTTCGCGTGTAGTAAAGAGTCTGCAAAATCACCGAAGTCCGCTCCTTTTTCTTTAGAAACCCGCAATTCGTGGTCATCTAGTCTTAAATACGTCGGACCCACCGGAATCTGCGCCTTTATGACCAATCCACTTCGACTTAACTCCTCGGCGACCCGAGTATCGGCGTCTGCTGCTTCTTGCTGTCTTGTTTCCATGAATTTAAGTAAGGCTCTTGCTTTTTCGTGCCTTTTCTCCAGTTCTTGAGCAATAGCGTCCTTCCGAGCCTGAGAAATAGCGATATACGGACTCTTCTCTGCCTCTTGCTCTTCAAAATTTTTCGTAGTAACGTCCTCTTCTTGCTGGAGCTCGCCTGGCTCCGCTGCTCGCTCCGATGGGTCCTCTGTTGCTTCATTTTCAATAGAAACTTCGGTAGCTTCCTTTGAAGACTCGGGAGCCGCGTAGAACGTGCGGAAAGCGCGTCGAATCACGTGCGCGACGGCTCCAACCGCCACGACGTCCAATTCGTCCTGATCCTGCTGCCTCTTTTGCCTTGCGGCCTCCTCCTCGGCTTCTTTTTGCGCTTTCAACGCTGCAGCAGCTTCTGCTGCTTCACGCTCGAGAGATTCGGCTGCTAAAGCGGCCTCAGCAGCTGCAACAGCCGCAGCGTCCGACGCCTTCTTAATAGCGGCTCCTGCCATTGACAGCAACTGCGTCGCTTCAAGATCCGCTCCATAATGTATTTATATATGTGTTGATAATTTCTTGCAGAAATAGAGTATTAACATAGATTTGCCTGTGTATTTTTTTTTTTTTTTTTTGCTTCAGTTCCTTTGCTTTCAAAGGCGTATGATGCGATCTTTGTACTGTTGTTTCTGAGAGGGTTGAGCAGGCTTCGCAGCGAGCTCTCTTGTCTCTATTACAATTAAAAAAAATAATAAACCAAGTCATGAGGGCTGGCTTGCGCTTGGATGGCGTATCGATGCTACTGCCCCGAACACAACGGTATCAAGCACTATTACCGTGTGCAACAGCAGAACTGTAGTTAAAAATTGGGTAATTTCAAAACGCCCTCGGGCGGTGCACGACTTTGGATTTAGGGTATCAAATATAACACGGAGTGGGTGTGAAAGTTGACAATGTTGAATCCAGGTATACAGTAAAAGATTCGTTCTCAATCACTGTAATATCTTGCTGAGCTTGATGGGGAAGTTGTGGTTGACAGTCAATACCAGGTCCGTTTAGTAATGCTCGGGCACCTCACGATTCTTCTAGCTCCGAGTAGATTTGAGCAATTTCTGCCTGTTCTTGGCGGACAACCCGACAAATAGACTGGACAGTTTGTCCATTAGCGATTCAATCTTCTGTCCATCACCGACAAATTTTTTCGTCAACTGAGTCAACTTGCCCAGTGGTAGTCCCCTCTCCTCTTCATATTCTGCATTCTCGTCATTCTTCTCGTTAGATCGCAAGAACCTCTTATCATGGCTGATGTCGAGCGCACGGACGGCGACCGCAGCGTCAGCTGCAGTCACCGCAGGCACCTTTGCCTGGTCGTCGACAGAGGTGAGCGCGATAGCACTGCTGGTAGACAGAACAGTAGCCGTGGCGACGAGCAGGAAGTAAGCGAAGCGCATGTTTTTAGTCCTAGCAGAGAGTAGTAGGTCGGGTGGCAGAATCAACTTGAGAGTTGCTCGAATATGCGACTTGAATGCTGAGGTGTGAAAGTCGGAATGAAGCTGACGTTTAGCCAAGAAATACTTCTTTTCGAGATCAACCATCCCGAACGCCAATGTTATGCTGATTACTGTTCTACTGCGGTCTTCATTAACTGTGCTAATCACAAACATATTATAATAGTTAGTACACATCAGTGGAGTGAGCATTCTTGCACATAAAAAAACGTTTTTGTGAACTGACAGCGTGGCTAGAAATACTGCATAAAGTACGGATGAGGGCTGGCACTGCAACAGCTCATAGCACAACGATATCATGCGCATGATGGACATTGCTTCTTGGAATGGCGCAGACTTTAGCTCTATACATGACATGCAGAATGACCGGTCTTTTGCTCAATGTTTATATAAACATAAATCCTATGAAAAACTCTTTCTCCCATAGGCTTTTTGCGTATATAAGCGTTGACGAAAAATAATAGCCGTACTAATGTAAATAAAATAATGACAATAGGCACTTAATACAGTAAAGTATTCGAAGACGTGGATCTGACGAATGAGGAAACATCAATAAGAAATGAGCTTTTTGTACATGTATACATATATTACAAAAACGTCGTTTTGGTTAACTTCATTTCAGGAACGAGGTTGCTTTGTGTGGTTCAATTTTTCTAATGTATTAAGCTAACATTAGATTAATGTAACCTGTGAAACCTCTGGAAGGCTACAGAGCTAATTGAGTATGACGGGAGACTCAATTATACATCGTTTGGAAAAAAAGCCCCCACTCGTAATTCCACCAGAGTTAATTAATGGAGTATCCAAACAAATCCGTCATAATTTTTATTAGCTTATCTGGAGTTTGTACCGCTATTCCTTCCACTAACCCTAGACATTACAGTTCTCTACTTCTAATTACAAGTGTACGACACCATTTTACATATCGTCTTGTCATTCTCTGATGATGCTCTCACTCGTGACTTGTATTTAGTCGTAAACACATGTAGTACTATTTTTGTTTAGGAGAAATGGTCACTGACTTCATTTGAAACCAGTCTCGTAAGTCCTTGCAAAGTTCATGCAGAAGTTAGCAAAATGAGTGTTATGGCTAAGACCTAGCAGCTTTTCAATGTTGTAGGGCTGTTCGTGCAGTGCACGAAATATACGAGAACATTTTTGTGCAGCACAAAATCTTTTAGTCCAGGTTTTCGTTGCATTTTATTACATCATGAAAATAGACTTGGTAAAGTAAGGCCGTGCGCGAGCGCCCGGATGAGCTCTGAAATTTTCATAATTTTCTTGTTATCTGTGTGACATATCCGCAATTCCGATAGCCGTAACAACTATTTGCAGTAACTTGGTACATCCTCTTTGTAGTGATACCGTCAAGAAACCATGTTTTTTTTTATTATCTGGAGAAATCACTGTACCAAAGTCGACGGTAAAAAATGACTTTGAAGAGACCGTTAACTAAAGAGAGTGTCCGTTTAGTTAGTTACGTCCGAACAATTCAAGCGACGACATCTGTTTCTTCCCGCAACCCAACTTCTCTCAAAACAGACTCCCAGACCAGCACATTTCTCGAAGAGGTACACCCATCGCGTCCGCAAGAAGAAAGAGTGTGATTATCTATGATAGCGTCGTCAAGTTTCTGCCGTAAAGAAGCGAAGTTTGCGTGCCGAGCGCGTTCTGCGTATTTATCTATCATTTCGCGTCACAACTGCAGATAAACATACCATACGGTAAATCGTAGTTTATCGCCAGGAATTATCGATTGGTGGTTTTGCATATACATAACAAACCGCCCAAGTTAGGAAAATTAATTAAAGTTGAGTAATAATAGGCAATAACCGTAGCTCCCTTTTAGGACACCTCGTACCGCGCCAGTCTTGTCCGTGGCCAGCAGACAGTGTCTGGTGAACAAGTTCTCTGAGTGCTCTAACAGACACAGTAACACCGAATATACACAGCACTTCAGTTCACTACTCGTGCGGTCGTTTGATGTTGACAAGGTTCTAGTGATCTTGCAGGTCGTCCAGGGCTGCGTCGCGGGCTAAACTACCGCAGCGGGCTAAACTACCGCGAGGGCTCCGATACCTCAAAAGACTGTCCAGCACCTGGAGGGTAGGCTGCAGATACTCCTCTTCGACCCTACGGGGCTGCTGATACCCGTTTCCCTCCACACACTAGAACCCGTCCGATCACTAGGTACTGCTTCTCCTCTTCTTCGTTGCTCTTCTCTCTCGTCAGGATGCAAGTGAGTAGACAACGCAATACGTTCCCTTCTCGATCTCTTCTCTCTTTTGGAGGTTAACTTCGTAAGTGTCTTCTCTCTGCTTCGCAGCAAATCTAAGACTGATCTCCTACTTCAAATGCATCTGGGTTGCGGCCTTTCGGCCTCTGCGATCTTCACCGGATACGACGTTCTGCGGTGAATGCGAGCCGCTCAATCCAGTCCGACGTCGCCTCTCCTTTGGTCTCGGTTGTCCGCTATGCTGCCACGTAGAGTCTGCTCTCCTTGAATGTACCCAGGTTGGTACAATATCCACTTGATCTTCGTCACCGTCACCGTCCTCGCCATCTTCCTGCCGTTACCGTTCCAGTTCTCCTCGCTATCCTCGTTGGTTCTATACTTACCTTCGTCGTTCTGCTGTCCTTCGTATCAACTGTTCATGCCGTCCCGATCTTCGTCAGTTCCTCGTCAACCTTCTGTCATAAGACCGCCGATAGTATTCCATACTATTACTGTTGAATATTCCATGATCAACAACAGCACAGGGTCGAGATATTTAACTAAGAGCACCCTTCGCACTTCTTATTGGTCATGCAACGCTTATTTTGCAGTATTCGTCAACTAATAGTGTCAAATTACCAAAGAAAGAAAGGGCGGTGAGGTAGTGTTGTTCAAATCCAAATAGTTGTCCAAATTGTTACTAACTACTGGCTTTCGTCCAAATCAGACCGCTCGTGTACCGCCTGCTGAGTCAGCAGTCCATTTATGGAAACCGCCGCAGCACTCTTCTGTGGAATGACACGGGCTTTAAACAAGCACTTGGTTGTATTCAAGTACGCATACATACTTGTTGTCCCTCCGGACAGTTTGGCGTTTAGCAAAGCCTGTTTGCCCTGCGCGAAGGTGAAGTCCTTTACATGTAGTCTCGCGTCCTGTCAAGCGGGGAACCGCATCCCAGCATACAGAGATACGAAACGACCACCACCGTCGTTGCGCAGAGTTCGCGGCGGGCATCATGCTGCATGTACAGTACTACGATGAAGAAGGGATTACTAGTAAGTATGCTTTAGCCGGAAGAGTGGCACAGGGCCATAGTGTCAAGCATATTTGCAACAGTACCACGATCTGGGGAAGTCTGTACGGATTTGACAATAGATCCTCGAGGGGCATACTAACTGTTCTGTGTACTATGATAGGAGACACTGAAAGGCAAGCACATGAGCGTTACACTTTCACGGAAAATATTACTACTGGCTCCTTATAGGTAATTTTTGATCGAATTGAAATTGGCTCCAACACGAACACAAAGTAGATGCGGCGGCAAACATTTTTTTCTTAGTAATTCAATATTCAATAGGGCTATTTCTGCCTAAGTATGAGGACCTTATTGCTTCCTCGTCGTACAGTACTACATCCCGTTGTCACCCTCGGACCTTTGATAAACTTTCGGATATAATGCTCCATTTGCCAATTATCCTCGGGTTTATATATTGAAACCTGTAAATCCGATATGGTCCACCCCTGCGAAAACAGGTGCATTACTACTGTATATGACATTATCACCGATGCCATTAGTCTCCTTATTGCATCTTCGCTATGTTTGCGAGCTACTACAATTGTATCACGCGTGGGTTGATGTTGCAGTATTTTCTGTCATATCATATTGCAGTGTAGTCATGAGCGTGTGCCTATCCCAGCCTCGCGTAGCCCTAGTTTTGATGTTGAGTTATTGTTCAACTTAGGATTAACAGAAGAGGTTTGTCGTTGAATTAGAGGCCCTATTTACTTCAAATATACGCCAAAGTTAGTCCATAGCACAATAGTACTGTAGTACCGGTAAGCGTAAAAAGAATACTTTTCAAGGATTGACTGAGTGATCCATACCGGAAAGAAGTGGGTTTTGTGACAAGACCAGAAGTAGAGTTTGTCTGTTTTGCTCGATAGTACATATTTTAAACATTAAGCATGCCTGGTGCATGGCATTTAAGGTGGTGGTGGTCTCGTTTTATAATTCGCTCTGTAGGACACCCGATTGTCATTTCAATGCCTGTTCGCGGGTGCTGCTAACTTAATCTTTTTCAGGAGCGGAGGTGCTGTGTAAACTCGATCGAAGTAACTGGAAGGAAGTTGCTCTATCGTATCCAATTGGGCGAATATCCAGTAAAATTATAATTCGCTAGTTACCTACTCCGCAAGAAACGAGGGAGACAATATAATTAACTTCACTTCATTTAAAGGATCGTTGAGATCGTAACCTACGTAGCCAGTTTCTGTAAAAATTAATTATCTACGAGCTAACCACTAGCTAAACATTGACTCTACAACTGAGTATCGTCCGAGTCACAACCTAAACCGTCATGACCAGATTCAGCATTAACTCGAAGAGTAAGGCAGGTAAATAATTGTCGAGTTAATCTTTACAATTTGCTAAAATAACGAGAAAAAAACCTCGTTTTGACACATTACACGAAAAACACAATAGTATTATCATTGACGTAAATTTTGTTTAAGAAATTAAAAACAAAACTTTAATTATAATATTTAATTGTCTTTTTAAACAAAGTGCTACAAACGTTTTAAACAAAAAAAACGGTTCTCCTACAATGAAGTGAATAGCCATGCTTGAGAAAACGCTTGATGTGGAATGTTGTTGCCGGTGCCACTTTTCACTTTAATTCGTTTGGCGGGTCCAGGTCGTACAAAGGTGATGAAAGAAATGAAATGCAATAGCCATACGTATCACTATACTAATCAGCCTATTTGCAAACGCATGGGCGACATATTCGAACTAGTTCCCAGTGCTACATATTGCTCAAAAGGAATGTTGATTTTACCCCTTAGGTTCGCTGACTGCGGAGCTTCTGCTTTCTAGCAAACTGCGACGGGTGTCCCTCCATGATGTTCATTCTCGCTCTAGTCGGCGCTAAGCGTCGCTCCAAGAACTGCTTGGCACTGGTCGACAGCTCCCTCGTCTGCGTGTTCTCTAGCGACTCGAGCGTCTGCACCTGAATGTTGCCAAACTGTCTCGTGTGGGTCTTTTTCTCCATCAATTTAGCCAGTTTGGCCTCCTCCACTGCACGTCGCTTCTTGGCACGCAACTCCTCCGCTTTATCCTCCTCCTCTTCCTCCTCATTACGAGCAGCAACAGCCGACAGCACGTCGTCCGACAATTCCGGCACCTCCTCCTCTGGTTTAGGCTCCTGCTTGGTCTTTCTCTTTCTACTGACATAGAAATATTTCCATCAATTAGGTAACCTCTCTCCACATTTCCATTGCTCGATATGGGTCCCTTCAGCCTCAAAAGACCCAATTGACATATTGGCCAATCGCCATGTTGGACCCACCTCTTGGCGGCGGTAGCCTGTGCGCGAGCCTCTTCCTCCTGTCGCTGCTGAGTCAGCGCCTGCTCCGTGGCGCTCTGCTTGGTCACGACCTCGGGCGCTTCATCGCTGTCGCTGTCATAGACGGCGGGCGTCTTGTCCTTCTTGGCAGCCATCTTCTATTGTGAATGTGAGCATGAACTGCTCCAGTCAACCTTTTCATCCAATCAAAAGACGTTAT